TGCACTGTGAGCTGTAGGGTCTTATATAGACAGGTGTGTGGCTTTCCTAATCACATCCAATCAGTATAATCAAACACAGCTGGACTCAAATGAAGGTGTAGAACCATCTCAGGGATGATCAGAAGAAATGGACAGCACCTAAGTTAAATATATGAGCGTCACAGCAAAGGGTCTGAATACTTATGACCATGTGATATTTCAGTTTTTCTTTTTTAATAAATCTGCAAAAATGTCAAACATTCTGTGTTTTTCTATCAATATGGGGTGCTGTGTGTACATTAATGAGGAAAAAAATGAACTTAAATGATTTTAGCATATGGCTGCAATATAACAAAGAGTGAAAAATTTAAGGGGGTCTGAATACTTTCCATACCCACTGTATAACGAGCACAGTGCACAAGCACTGTGCACGCATCATAACATGGTCAAAGGAAAGGTAGAAAACAGGGAAACATAGATGTGCTACCTGTGATGCACAACATGTGTTTGTTGAAAGATAGAGCAGTGTTTGCATTGTATGTGCTCAGGTTAAGCAATACCTGACCTAACTGGCTTGGTGGGTACTCATATCTGATAGCCAGGCCTGCTCATCCGTCCAACCACTGACACTGTTCTACCAAGACTGTCAATCAAAAGAAAAATACACAACTGAGACACAAGGAAAAGATGCAAGTGAGAGTAACGGCAGTGCTTATAAGAGAGTTGGGATGTACCCTGAGCCTTTGGTGGATGCTCCTTTTATACCCACTCATGACACCGTCACCTGTTCCCAATTAACAGGATCATTTATGAATCTTCCAGAAAGTGTTGGAATATTCTATGAAGCTTTCAGTCTTAGTTGGCCTCTGTCCCAACCTTTTTTTTTTTTTAGTGTGTTTCAGGTATCAAATTCTAAATTTGTTTATATTTACAAAAAGCAAATAAACTGGCCAGTGAAAACATTGACAACCGTTTCTATGTACTTTTGTTAGTTAAATAAAGGTTCAAGCAAATTAACAAATCACAGATTTGAGTTTTTATTACACTCTGGAAAATGTCCAAATGTTTCTGGAAATGTGGTTTGTACGGTACTTTGACATCATTATTAGTCTGAAAGTTATTCAGGATAAACAATAGTTCAGTAATGGCGGTTTTCTTCAGGATCTAGCTCAGTAACTTTTGTCAAATCTGTGCTCTCCCATGTTTTACTTAGTTTATTAAGGAAATATGATTTATAAGAAAGGCTCCTGCTGTTTTATATAATCAGAATTATTTATTTTGCATCTAACCATTGTGAAGCTCCTATTTGGAGACAGAAAGCCCTGTTTGGATGCCTGCAGTAAGGCCCAGAAGCAGTGTATCTTGCTTTCAGTGTATCTTGGCCCATTACATGCCACAAGAAAACATCACATTTAAATTAAAAATTGCCTCGGTGTTATTCAAGATCTTTTTATTGTCTCTGAAAACACCAAAACCAGCAACGCATTCGACTCTGTATCAATGTCCCCCTGAGGCTCTGGTATGCTGACATTTTAAACCCCAAACCCATTGGCGAATGTCTACCTGTGTACTCTCCAAGGATCAGCCTGGACATGATGACAGTAAAGATGGGTGCTGAGCTCTTCACTGTCTCTGCGAATGACACTGCCACATTCTTCAGGCTCACCAAGCCCAGAACCACTGTGGCGAACCTGACAAACATAATGCACTTTGAGAAATGCTGTATTTGTTAGTCCATTATTATGTTTAAACTACTTTCTTAGAAGCTCTAGTAGTTTGGTTCTAATCGATGATTTAGTAAATTGGGCAGCACCACAAAAACACTAGTAAAACCCTCACTGGTTGTCATTTATAGGCTACATATAAGGGAAGGAACCCACCTCATGAGTCCAACAAACAACATGATCATGATGAAGTTGGGGGGGTACTCCTTTCTGGCCTTGTGCTGGTACAGGCAGCAGGGGATACACATCTTTAGGCAGCCAATGAGTGTGGTGGAGAGCATCTGAACAGCACCTGGGGAGCATATGAAAGAGGACAAAGTAGAGCTACAGCAACAAACAACTCTGTATGAATGTGGATCAAACTTCTTGAACTCTTTAAGATACAGCCTGGTTTTTCACAGCTATACCAGTAAAGGCAGATCTTAACAAGTTTATCTTTATTATCTACAACGTTAGAGGTCCTAACACAGGTTTTGTGCATTTTTAGGCACAGTCATTTAAGTGAACAAGTGACAACATGCAGTGATATAAAATTGTTTGTTGAGAAATCCATCATAGTTATAAAGCATCTGAACTATTATCAAATGTAATTGTTAAGGTTAGTGCATCTTAAGATCACTGCTTTCATGATGAATATGTTTTTGGAAATGTTAGATTCAAAAGAAAAACAATAAGATTTAGTTGTCTTAACCTTTAAAATATAACACACAAGAGTGAAATGAAGATACTGAGGGAGAATACCTTCTCATAATATTAGCTGCAATCACTTTTTAGCACTAGGTAAGTTAAACTTTTACACGAGTGTGTGATCTTATTTTTGGTCTTGTTGTGTACGTGACCTTAGGTGTGGTCTGTCCGTCCAAACAAGGTCTTAAATTGTTTGCTCTGTCCAGCAGTGGAGATAACTGATAGTAGCTGGTTGTTCTAGGCTGTAGGTAATATCAGCTAACAGCGGTATGCCCACAGTACTTGTATTATTGTCAGCTCTTCTGCATCTCTGTGGCTATTTGTTAATGCAAGGCTGTGTAAAATGTCTATATTTATGGCGAAGATAGTTAACATAGTCCCTGGCTATCAATGGGGCTAATTATTTCCTGGTTAAAGGTTAATAAATAAATAAACTGATCACAGCTGTACTAGCTGGGATCATTTTGACATGCATCCTATTTTTATTTGTCAAGCTCAGAGTGTAGTCTCTCTGTTGGCAAAAGTGTAATTCCACCAGTGTGTGTGGATGCAGAATATATTGTACAAAACAAGATCTTTTAATTAATTGAAGATCCAGTTAGTTAGGTGGGGCTCCTTCAGAACCTGTTGTACAAACATAGACTAACCAGTTTAACCAGTTTAACCAGTTAAACAAAGGAATTTAAAGATGGAACAGCAGTGCAGTGGTTAGCGCTGTCACCTCACAGCAAGAAGATTCAAGGGCCGACCCAGTGCCTTTCTGTGTGGAGCTTGCATGTTCTCCCTGTGCCTGCGTGGGTTCTCTGGCTTCCTCCCACAGTACAAAGACATGCAGCTTAGGTTGACTGGTGACTCTAAATTGCCTGTATGAGGGAGTGTGTGTGGTTGTCTGCCTACATGTCAGCCATGATAAACTGGTGACTTGTCCAGGCTGTACCCTGCCTTTTGCCCAATGTTGGCTGGGATTGGCTCCAGCACCCCCATGACCCTATTCAGGAATAAGCGGTATAGATAATGGATGGATGAACAGAGGAGTTTAAATGTGCTAAGGCAGTCTCCCAGGCTCAGTGGGGACAGTGGATGAGGTGGGAAGATGTAGAAAGAAACTTAGTTGGAGGGAAATGTGGGACATGGAGGCAGGAAGGATTATACTGATTATAGGCACAACTTATGATGTGCTTCCTTCTCTCCAAAATCTGGATAGATAGATAGGTCAGGCCCCGACATGTCTCTTGTGTTCAGGTGCAGCATCACTTCAGCACATAATCTCAGGGTGTACAACAATCCTGGCTCAAGGTCAATATATGTGGAGACATAATCAAGTGCTGAAACGTTCAGCAGCAGTTACTGAAAGTAGGCGCTTAGAGGTAAACTCAGTGGAGGAGAAAAAGAAGCAGAGTGGATTTTGTTTATTTGCGAGGGTAAAAAAGGCAGGAAGCAAAGCATTTTGAACAGGCAGGATTGCAGGCCAGCTAAAGGCAGGGAGAGATTGGCAAATTAAGGTAGATGTAGGGAATCAGCTCATACTGTAGTTCCTGAGGAGATAGTCAGTACTAACCTCAGACCAGACCTTATGTTGTGGTCAGAACAGCGGACTGTGTATTTTGTCGAGCTTACAGTTCCCTGGGAGGACGCTGTAGACACAGCTTATGAGAGGAGGACACTGAATTACACAGAGTTAGCCATGGAAGCAGAGGAGCGTGGCTGGAAAGTTACAAAGTCCGCACCATGGAAGTTGGTTGTAGGGGACTGTTAGCCAAGTCATCTGTCTCTCCGCTAGGTGAGTTAGGTATAAAAAGACGGAACCTAAGACAGGTAATTAGGAATCTAGCTGATAGTGCAGCAAGGTCCAGTGAGTGACTCTGGAGCAGAAGAAAAGTGTGTGAATGGGGTAAAAATAGGTAAATGATTTATAAATGGCAATATATGTGATGATTATGCCTGTTAAGCTGAAGTTAACTAGGACAGACTTAGTAAATATCTGTGATATGAGGACAATTTCCTGGCATGATCAAGCTAATGTGAGGGCATAGTACAGGTTTGCCCAGTTTGTTGGAATGTATACTAATACAGGGTGGTTTCTGATTCAGTATAAACCTAAACCTCAAAGTGACACAAGTGAACATGTAAATAGTTTTAAATCAAACCTTTGTGCTTTTGTTAAGGATAATCACATAATAATCAAGATAATCACCTTTATTTGGCCAAGCATGTTACACATACACACAAGAAATTTGTTTCCGGTACAGAACCGGCACCAACTCAACCGATGGCTCTAAACATAGGGGGCAACTTGGGGGTTCAGTGTCTTGTCCAAGGACACTTAGACATGTGGACTGCAGGCACAGAGATTCGAACCTCCAACCCTCTGGTTGGGAGACGACCGTTCTATCCACTTAACCAGTCACTCCTTAACATTGCATTTACAAAAAAAAGCTCTATTCTTGCACTTTTTTTTGTTTAATAATGCACTACACAGAAACACAGCAAAAGCATTGTTTAAATGAATGCATTTTGTTTTCATAATGTGGAAAACTGATTTCTTTTTTTTTACACGTCTGATTAAGTGATTAATCATAGAAATAATCGACAGATTATTAAAACATTTTAGTTGCAGCCCTTCACACACGCTATCATCCCACTTTCTTTGAACATATTTATTATTATAACTCTTTATTATTACTACTATTGTTCTGATGTGCACTTTACTATATATATTTTTAATTTTATTGTAATATTTTGCTCTGCTGCTGTAACACCTGAATTGAAGGAAAAAGTTTTAAAGTAATTTCAGTTTTCATACCTTAGTATATTTAATATCAATATTAGTAGAAGCATAGGTTTATAATTTATTCTTACCCAGCATGCTAGGCTCCCCCTCCAGCAGTGACAAGATGTACTTGTTGAGGAACAGGGTGCAGAAACTGAAGAAGTACCAGAAGCCCAGGTAGGTCAGGGAGCGCAAGTTCCACACCCCAGAGCCTGCCTCAATCACTGTGGTCTCTGTGACCGTGATCTTCAGTACCTGTTCCCCTGGCAGGCTATCACTGCGGGTCAGCACCACTCGCTCCTGGCGGGTGCTGAACGGTGACAAGAGGTACCACAGTGAGTGCTTGCCCGTCTGCCCACCACCTGGCATCGTGCCTCCCACCTAGGTGTCTCCAGGGCCCCAACAGGTGGATGATAAGAGGGGAGATGAAGGGTCGATAACAGTTTTGATGGTTATTCCATCTTCTGATTGGACAAGCAAGTGACCGGTTCCTCAGTATTGCAGTGGTTGCTGGGAATGCTTTAAGTACCGGTGTTTTCTTTCCTCTGCTACAGCTGCTGCAAAGAAGATAGTCTTGTGAACAAGAAAAACAAGTGATCCTCTTTGCAAAACAGTTAGTAACTGTCCATCCACTTGTATTTTACATACAATCACATTATGTGTACTTTTTTAAATCAGTGCATACTGCTTCAGATACTATTCACTATACTTAACCTCTAGAGTCCTGAGCTTTGGTTTCATATGCATTTTTGGTCCTCATATGAGGACGCAGGGACTCTAGAGGTTAAACTGCTATTTGGGTTGTTACATACCATCTACTTCATTTAATAAATACTTATTGTATGCTACATTGGTTCGTTTTAAACACGACGTTACTTCGTACTCCAAAGCTCCTCTCATGAAAGAGATCAGTCTCTGAAGCCTGTGGATTGCTGATGAGATAAGGCTGAGGA